AATTGCAGCTCCTTTGAATATGTTTTCTCCCAAATGAGGGATAAAACTTTAAGCCCCCAAACAAGCTGTCCAAGCTAAGTAGCATTCAAAAACCCTGAAGTCACGAGTCTCGTTGGAGCCAAGAGTGTACAAACACTTGGTGGCAACAGTCAGTCCATTCACTCAGATGAGCGCATTTCCCATGATTGGTAGGGCTGGACGTTCTCCAGAGCATGGAGCCCGAGTCACCGTGGAGTTGCTGTGGTTGGCAGGGCTAGATGTTCTCCAGAGCTTGGGGCCTGCCCAAGTCACCCTGGAGTAGCCGTAATGGTCAAGGTCCTCTGGCCTGCAGCCTCAGCCCTTGGCTGCTGGCACGCTGACCGCCTCCTCTGGGCCCTGGCCTTCTGATAATCACAGGGATTAGATGAAATGTCTGTCATGTTGAGGAATCAGAAGTTTCCTTATGAAGATCTACTTTCCTGCTTTCTTGCCAGCACAGTGCAGGGCCTGTCCCTAGTCATCTTTCATGCCAGGATATAATGGAAAGGAAGTGGCACTGAAAACTGGTGCCTGGCCAGCTTCAGGAAGCTCTGCTACCTAGCACATCAAGGCCACACATCAAGGCATTTGCCCTCCTCCTTTACATCCAGAAGACTCTCGGTGGTTCGTTCAGGTGTGCAGTTCGAAGAGTGGGTTGGTGGCTCCTATGTCTCTGTACCAAGTTACAGTCCTCCTTATGAAGATGCAGAGACAGGCTGGAAGGGGCAGCCATGGACCTAGTAAGCCACGGCTGGGCTCACCTCAGCAGAGATGGTGCTAGGGCGGCCCCCTCACACTCAGGGAGCACTCTTGGGCACGTGACAGGCCCTAAGCTTGCGATCCTGCAGCTCTGCGAGGTTTGGTCTGCTCGCTCCACTCAGAGACCTCCCAGGTGATGACCAGCCTGCAAGAGGCAGTGAGCCAAGGCCTGACATACACGTCAGACACGTAGAGAAAAGATCTCTGCATCTTTGTAAGGAGGATCGTAAACTTGGTGCAGAGTAAACGAGGTGGTTCACATAAAACCTTCAGCACCTCATCTGCCCAGCGGGACGCCTTCAGTGAGAATAGCTGTCATCCCCACCATCATGAGATGGCTCTTGCTGGCTCTTTGACTGTGCGATCAGGGCTGACGCCGGGGGCCTGGTGCCCCTCTTCCGACTGCTTCTCCTCCTCAGAAGAGCACGCATAGATCTTCCGCAGAAACATGCCGCCTCCCGACAGGCAGCCTGTCCCATTATAGACTCCTGGGCCCAGACAGTCTTACTCCGGCTATAAATAAAAATTCCTGCCACAGAGCGCAGCAGCAAAGCCCAGCACCAGCCAGATCCTAAAATAGACTCCAGGCTGTGGGGAAGGCGTGTTTTCTGCTCCATGGCCAGCCCTGCGTTCTCCCTGGCCTTGTGAAATAAATGTGATCTTAAAGGGCCTGGAAACACCGCTCAGTAGAGGCGGTGGATACCGGATTTGTTGGCTGCGGTGCAGGCATGAGCCTGAGAGCCGGGGGGGGGGGGGGGCGGCCTGGTGGTGATTAGAGAGCAGCCGTGCGTTCCCCGCCCCCCCCCACCCCCCGCCCCCTGAAGGTGATGTTCAGGCCTGGCTGCTGTCCCAGCAGGACCGCATAGCTTGAATACCAGAGCTGAGCGCAGGCAGCCTAGTTGTTGCTGAGGGAAGGAGGGCAGGGCAGCCAGCCGCTCTGTCCCAGGGACGCCCACCCTCCTTCCCTTCTCCTGGCGGCCGCCCTCTCCTCTGCTGTCCTCACCCTCGGTGGCCTCCCCTGCAGACCCGCACCTGCGCAGCCAGGGCAGCTTGCCCACGACCCCCCGCACCCGCCGTCGAGACACTGCTGAGTCAGGCGACATTCTGGGCACCTTGGTTAATAACAGCGTTAGGATCCGTTCCTAAGCATTCCCTCATTCAGCAAGTATGTACTGAGTTAATTAAATGCCTCGGCTGTTTTTCGAGGCGCTCCTAAGGGTATCTTGGAGGGCAGGAGAGGAGAGCTGACGCTGATTGCTTGCCACCCAGCCGAACGTACAGGGTGTCTCAGTAAACGCACACAGAACCCCTGGGAGGAACTGCTGTTTCCAGCCCCGGTTTACAGAGGAGGAGACTGAGGCTCCAGAGCTCACCCCCTGCCCGAGGCCACACAGGCAGAGAGCTCAGGACCCAGGTGCAGGTCCGCATGACTTGAGCACATGCCCTCTCAGCAGTTGTCTCAGCTCCCAGAAAAGGCACCTGCTGTGTGTGTGTCTGTGTGTGTGTGTCTGTGTGTGTGTCTGTGTGTGTCTGTGTCTGTGTGTGTGTGTGTGTGTGTCTGTGTGTGTGTGTGTGTCTGTGTGTGTGTGTCTGTGTGTGTCTGTGTGTGTGTCTGTGTGTGTGTGTCTGTGTGTGTGTGTCTGTGTCTGTGTGTGTGTGTCTGTGTGTGTGTGTGTCTGTGTGTGTGTCTGTGTGTGTGTGTCTGTGTGTGTGTGTGTCTGTGTGTGTCTCTGTGTGTGTGTGTCTGTGTGTGTGTCTGTGTGTGTGTGTCTGTGTGTGTGTGTGTGTCTGTGTGTGTGTCTGTGTGTCTGTCTGTGTGTGTGTGTGTGTAAGTTAGGGCTTGGCTACTGCAGGGCCCACTCCAGTGCTCTATGCGTTTTCAGGCTTCAGGGATGGGGGTGTCAGTGAGCACACGTCAGGACCCCAGAGCCAGCGTTTGGCCTGGTTCGTTCTGGCTGCTCTAACAGATTACTGCAGCCTGGGCGGCTTATAACAGCAAGTGTGTTTCTCGCAGCTCCAGAGGCCAGAAGATCCAGGCCCAGTATGGTTGGGCGAGGCCCTCTTCCTGGTCACAGACTTTTCTTGGTCCTCACGTGGCAGACGGTAGAGCCTCTTTTCTGTAGCACAGACCCCAGCATCTGGCCGGGGGAGGGGGGGGTGGTGGTGAGGATTTCAACATATAGATTTGGGGGGGGGGGTGAGGATTTCACCATATAGATTGGGAGGGGGCACCAACATTCTGATCATGGCCGCACCAAAGGTGAATCATGAGCGAGGCAGAGTCGTGGCCAGGAAAGAGGCCCCTGTGCGCAGGAGTGAGCATCTGGCAGGCCTGGGGGCCGGACTCCTGCGGGAGTCTGCAGCCACTGCCCCAGAATGGCTGGCACGGGGGTCCCTCAGATGGTCTCCCAGGACCGGCTGGGCCGTCCCCTCCCTCAGCTGATGCATTTCACTCGTGGTCTTCTCAGGGCAACTTCTCTGCCAGTGAGAGCTCTTCCCTGTGGCTGTGGGGGGAGCATCCTCCAGAGGTGAAACCCCCCCAAAGCCAGACACACGCCACACCTCATTCACCCCCAGCAAGGCCCTGGCTTGGACGGCTGCTCTGAGAGGTCAGATGGAAGGCGGTGGCCCCTGGCCCTGAGGAGGGTGCCCCGTGGACGCTCAGGCTCCACGGTCCCGGGGGGAGGACAGCTGAGCCGGGGCTCCGCCGCTGCAGGCTTTTCCCCAAAGAAGGCACGTGGACAGATGGGACCAACAGGAGCCCAGGCCTCATTGTCAGCACTGTGCTTCTTCATGCGTTCCCCTGTGTGTCTGGGTTGGCCTTGAGCTTCTGAATTAGGTGGGAGGAAGATGTGTGGGGACAGTCAGTTTTTAGGCAGGTACCCTGGGTTGGATATAAACCAACAGCCATGGGGCTTGTGGCCTCACCAAGGAGCGGGGAGCTCCGAAGTCTGATCCACAGCCCGGGGGATTGGGGGTCGGGGGCGCAGAGGCGGGTGTGCTTGTCCCTTGAGTGACAGCAGCTCTCCCTCCAGGTTGAAGTGTAGCTTTAGAGAAACCCTAAAGGAATGAGTGGCTTTAGCCTCTCATTAGATTAGGACTTCATTTCTTCTTGCGCCATTTCAGGATTTCAAAAATCCTGTGCCAGGTACTCCCTGGCAGTCCAGTGGTTAGGACTCCTTGCTTTCACTGCCAGGGGCCCAGATTTAACCCCTGATCAGGGAACTAAGATCCCACACACCTCACCAAAAAAAAAATCCTATGCCAGAATGTAGAGAGGACAGTTGAGGAAGCGATGTGCCTGTTTGTTTTTTTGGGCGGGCTTTTGTCAAGTTCCAGCCCCTTATGATGGGAAGTGAGCCTGGCAGGGGCTCCAAACTCAGCCCCTGCCGCACATTTATCCCCATTTCTCTAGGACAGTGGGCAGGCCTGGCCACCCCAGGGGACTGTTAGCTTAGTGGTCTCCGACCCTCCTTCCACAGCAGAGCCCGGGCCTGAGTCTGTGCTCACAGGCTCTGCTCTCTGCCCAGCCTGACTTAAGGCTTTTCTCTCGTGATGGGACCCTCGGAGAGCAGAGCCTTGCGGTCCTAAGGGGGCGTCAGGGGCGTTGCACTTCATCTGTTAAAGAAAGAAAAAGAAAGAAAAAAGATGGGCAGAAAAGGACATGCACTCAGAAATTTTTAGTGTTTTGGGAGCACAGTTCTTTCAACCATTTTTAAAGCTTATCACTTCCCTTCCAAAAGGATTTGAAGTGACTACCATATTGAAAAGGCTTGCGGTATTTGACTTTCAAGGACTAAAATCAGATTCATCAAAAAAAAAAAATCAAAATGAGTAAATGTGACCAGGTGTCTGCACACGCTCGGTTCAGTCATGAGGTTCCTGGGAGGACAGTCGGCATAGACAGGACCACATAGGTTCAATTTTCTGACAGAGGATGGGACCCCCCCACCTCCACAGTGTGTGGTGGGGGGCACTGCATCCCACCGTGTAGACACTGCGGATAGTTCTGGGTGGTCTTCAGGCCCTTCTCAAGGGGCTGCAGGGTGGGGGGACCTCCAGCCAGAGGGCCACAGGGGTGGTTTGGCCTGAGCGGTGTCTTCGTTCGAAAGACTGATTAGCCCGTCACAGCTCAGCCAAGTTAATCTAACGACTTTTTCTCTTGTCTGTTTTCTTCTTCCCTCCTCTCATGTGCGTGTCTGTGTCCCACTCTGACTCTGCAGTACAAGTCCGTGTTTAGGTCCTACTCGCAGGATTTCGTGCCTCACAGCCAAGCTTCCGTCCAGCCTTTCCTTCCGTCTACCTCCTCTTCCTCTCCACACTTCCCACCTGTCCACCAGTCTCAGAGCTCTGACTTAGCCGTGCCGCCCGTGGCCAGTCTGCCTCCCAGCACCCTGGACGGGCTTCTCTCGTCTTCTCAGGAGAGCAGCTTTCACGGGAACACTGTCTGCCTTCCTTCCGAAACTTCTTTCACTGACTCGCCCCAGACGCCTTCGGTGAGAACTCAACACGCACGCCTCCACACGGGCCTGCCCGCTCCAAGAAAGCCTCCACCCGTCCTCGCTCTTGAGGCCATTGCTGGCGTGGGCCTTGTCGTGGTGTGGCTGGGCTGAGGGGTGCGCAGGTCCCCCGCTGAGATGGTAGCCTGTTAGCTTCCAGAGCAGAAAGCAAACCTTCTGTGTGGATTCCCAGCAAACTAGGATCTCATTTTCCACAGATGGGTTAGTGGCCACTTAGAGATGATCTGTTGTCATAATCGTGAGATATAAATGCTGCTGGTTTTCCATGTGGTTGGGGGTTTCTAGAGAAGGGCACAGAGGTCTCCGATGGCCCAGGAGCAGTTGCGTGTTGAGCTGCTGTGGTGCTGAGGATGGGGGCCTGCTTGCCGTGGGTCAGGCGGGCTTCAGTGCCTCCTTCGGGCTCAGGACAAGGCTGCTGTGCACAGGGACCGGGGGACGGGGCAGGACAAGTGCAGACGCCTGCAGCTGGCCCTCCAGCGTGGGGATGCTCTCCTGCCCTCCATGATCGCCCCCCATCCCCCGTCCTCCTGCCCTCTATGATTGTCCCCGTCCCATGTCCACCCACCCTCCATGATTGCCCCCTTCCGCTGCCCTCCATGACTGCCCCCTGTCTGCCGCCCTCTGTGATTGCCCCCATCCCCCGTCCTTGCTCCCTCCCCTGATTGCCCCCCACCCCTCATCCTCCCGCCCTCCGTGACTGCCCCCTGTCTGCCGCCCTCTGTGATTGCCCCCCACCCCCCATCCTCCCGCCCTCCATGACTGCCCCCTGTCCCATGCTGCGGCCTCTACTGTCCCTGCTGCAGCAGAGCACGGAGGAGTACACATCCTCCAGGGCACTTTGAGGGCCAAAGCGCCCTTGACATCTTTGGAGAAGCTCCAGCAGGAAACCTGGGTCCTCTCTGACAGAGGCAGGCAGTGGCAAAAATAGCTTTGTCCCCTGACCCTGGGAAGGGTCCCCAGGGACCATCGTCCCCTCCTTGAGAAAGAGCGTCCCAGTCAGGGCCAGCCTGGCAGGGCCATCACAGGTGGGTATCTCTCATCCTGTCTCCTCCAGAGCAAGCACGCCTGTGAGGGGGACTACGTCAGTCTGTATTGCTCTGGCCAGAGCGGCGAGGAGCTGGCCCGCCCTCGAGGAGTAAGTAACCTCGGGCTGCCTCGTGCATGCGGCCAGGCCTGCGGCTCGGCCCTGCTCCCGTCGGCCTGGGGCTCCCGCTCATGCCCGGCCCGGGGCCGACTTGGCTCCGCAGGGAGAAGACGGAGCTTCTGGCGGAGCTTTCTTTGCTTTTGCTTCCACGTGTGGGTCCCCTGCAGCCTGGCCGGCAGGCCTGCTAAAAATCACAGAGCAGCCGGCTCAGTCCGGGCTAGCTACTTTCAGGGATTTCTTTCCGCCTCATCATCCGGTGTTGAGGCCTGTCTCCTGTCCGTCCTCAGGCAGGGATTCCTCTCTCCCGCACCGAGCTTTCCAAACCAACACCCCTCCCCCAGCATGCTCCCCGTCTGCGCCCCTGCTCCCAGGGCAGCTGGGGACCCCCCAGGTCTCACACGTCGTGGTCGCCCTGGTCTTCTGCCGTCCCAGTGCCGAGCAGTCGAGGGGCCATGGCTCTGCTGAGCAGTCAGCTGTCCAAGTTTTGCTGCAGCAAAACATGAGCAAGTGCAGAACTTTCCAGAATAACTCCCCACCCTGAGCCAGGTCCAGTCCCTGGAGGGGGCAACCTGAGAGTACTCCGTCCTCCTCTGGGGTCAGCTCAAAGGGCCCAGCCATTGAAAGCATGGTCACTCTCATTGTGATGACCCCCGTAGCACCTCAGATATCCACACGAGCAGGCCCCACTTTAGGAATTAGCAAGTTGTAGAATGCAGTGGAGTTCCCACTCCAGTGGGATCCAGCCTGGTCCCTGGGAGCTGTTTTTCCCCTTGTGTCCCCTGCATCTTCCAGGCCAGCCTCTGTACACAGAGCCCATCCCAGGCTGACCTTCCAGGGCTCCCCTCCCCCTGTAACCTTCCATGAGGACGTTTCTGCATCTTTGTGTTCCCCCCCCGGGTCCCCCCTTCTCTGTCGCGGCCCAGGCAGCAGACCAGGGGTGCCAGGGCCGTGTGGTCACTGAGAGGGGTGGGCCGGGTTCCTGGGAAGGAGCCAGGGTGCTGGAGGAGGGAGGGGCTGCCTTGTGCGCCCGAGCAGCGAGGTCCTTGGGAAGTGTGACGGGGTCAGGCGAGCACTGCGGTGCAGAGGGCATCTGTGACTAGGTCAGCAGAGGTGTGCTGCACACCCCCGGGCTCAGCGGCAGGGCCGCAGCCTTCAGCGCTGGGCTCAGGGGCAGACCCCATCCCTCCCCGCAGCCTCTCTTTCTCTTGTGTCCAAGCACGGGGATGCCCGCCAGCAGGTAGGGTGTTGGTCAGGGCCACAGAGGAAGGGCATGCACTGGCTGAGTTGGCTGCGTGGTAGGCAGCCCCCGGGGTGGCCCTTCTTGCCGGGAGGTGATGGCATGGCTCCATCTAGGCTGGCAGCTGAAGGAGGCGTGAGCAGCGGTGCCTTCACTCTCCTTGAAGGCAGGATGCTAGTCAGAAGAGGCCGTGCTTCCTGTGTGCCGGTCATGGTGGACGTGTTTGCATCTCAGGCTGCTCCCTGGGAACTCGCACCCCGAAGCCACATGCAGGCAGGTGCTCTGCGGAGAGCGGCCCAGCAGGGGCAGCTGTCACACACCCAGCTCTGCCTTCTCTTTCCAGGAGTCACCTGCGGCGAAGGACGGACACTCCAGAGACACCACGTCGGCCGGCTGTGTGCCCGGGAAGGAGGGCAGGGACAGCGGGGACAGGTAGGAAAAGTCCCTCATGGGGCGGGCGCCCTGAGAATAGAGCATCTGCCCTCTGGTGACCACCAGGGCCTGGGTGGCTTTGTGTTCACACTTGGGCTGCGCAGATGCTGTGCTTTTTACAAAGAGAAAGTTTGTAGCAGCCCTGCATCAAGCCAGTCTGTGGGCACCGTTTTTCCAACAGCATCTGCTCGCTTTGTGGTTCCTGCATCACAGTTTGGTAATTCTCTCAGGATTTCAAACTTTTTCACTATTACTGTATTCATTATGACAGTCTGTGATCTTTGAGGTTACTATGGTAATTGCTTTGGGGCATCACAGACTATGCCCGTAGAAGATGGCAGACTGAATCAATAAACATGGTGTGCGTTCGGACTGCTCCACACAATCTGAATAGCTGTCCCCCCGTCTCCCTACCTCTCAGGCCTCCCTGTTCCCAGACACACAGTATCGAAGTTAGGTTAGTTAATAACCCCACATTGGCCCCTAAGTGTTCAAGTGAAAGGAAGAATCGCTCCTGTCTCACTTCAAATCAAAAGCTAGAAATGATGGGGCTCAGCGAGGAAGGCATTTTGAAAGCCAAGACAGGCCTAGAGCTAGGCCTCTTGCACCAACAGTTAGGCATGTTGTGAAAGCGAAGAAAGTCCTTGAAGGAAATTAAAAGTGCTGCTCCAGAGATCACATGAATGGTAAGAAAGAAAAACAGCCTTCCTGCTGGTACAGAGAAAGTCTGGGTGGTCTGGATAGATCAGACCAGCCCAACATGCCCTTAAGCCAAAGCCTCATCCAGAGCAAGACCCTAATCTCTTCAATTCTGTGAAGGCTGAGCAGGGTGAGGAGGCTGCAGAAGAAAATTCTGAACATAGCAGGGTTGGCTCATGAGGGTTCGGGAGAGAAGCCATCTCATAACGGACAAGTGCAGGTGAAGCAGCAAATGCTGACGTAGGAGCTGCAGGAAGTCATCAAGAAGACCCAGCTCAGGTCATTCATGGGGGAGGCTACACTAGACAGCAGATGCTCAGTGTAGAGGAAACAGCCTCCCCTGGAAGAAGATGCCATCCAGGCCTTTCATAGCCAGAGAGGAGAAGTCAGTGCCTGGCTTCAAAGCTTCAAAGGACAGGCTGACTCTCTTGTTAGGGGCTAATGCAGCTGGTGACTTGTTACTAAAGCCAGTGCTCATTCACCATCTGAAAATCCTAGGGCCCTTGTGAGTGATGTGAACTCTACCCTGCCTGCACTCTGTACGTGGAACAGCAAAGCCTGGGTGACAGAACATCTGTTCACAGCATGGTTTGCTGAGTACGTTAAGCCCACTGTTGAGACCTGCTGCTCAGAAGAGAAGATGCCTTTCAAAGTAGTGCTGCCCATGGAAAATTTACCCAGTCACCCGCGAGCTCTGATGGTGATATTGATGTGCGATGAAATCAGTGTTGTTTCCATGCCTGCTGATGTAATGTAATAATGTTATAATGTAATGTAATAATGTAATGTAATGTAATAATGTAATGTAATGTAATAATCTCACCTCTCAAAGACCTTCATGCCAGCCCACAGACGGCCACTGCTTCTTGAGTATCTGCACACGTACTGTTCACCTTAGAAACTATGCGTAACAGTGCTTTCTTCTTCAAACCCTAAGCCAACCTCCCCTGCGTCTCTTACGAGTTCAAGTGTAATGAAGGAGTATAAGATTCCCGCCCCAGATGCTTATGGTGAGTTTCTAGGGGCAGTGTGTATGTTGTATGTCACATGTATTCGAAACTGTTACGAACATGACCCTCAGTCCCTAAATATTTCAGCATGCCGCAAAAGTGCCAACCTGATTACAGTATGGCTGTCACACCCAAGAAGAGTAACAGTAAATTCCTTCTGATATGCAAATGACAGAAAGTGAAGAGGAAGCAAAGATCCTCCTGATGAGGGTGGAAGAGGAGAGTGAAAATGCTGGCTTGAAACTAAACATTAAAACTAAGATTGTGGCATCCGGTCCCATCACCTCATGGCAAATAGAAGGCGGAAAAGCAGAATCTGTGGCAGATTTTATCTTCCCAGGCTCCAAAATCACTGCAGACAATGACCACAGCCATGAAGTTAAAAAGACACTTGCTCCTTGGAAGAAAAGCTGTGAGAAACCTACATAGCATATATCTCATAAGACTAATTTTTTTGGAACCAGGTCAATCAGGATTCGTGTTTGCATTTAGCCATATGTCTCTGTAATCTTTGGTAACATTCTCAGTGTTAGCCTGTGTCAAACATGACCAGGTGTAGAAATAAGTAGTAAGTCTCCAACTTGCACGTAGAAAGGGTAATTGCAGGACCCGCCAATCAGCTTTGCCACCTGCGACTTCATGCTGACGTCCCCTTCTTTGTGAGATGTTCCACACATTCAAGTTTTTCCTCCGTCTTTTGGCTAAGGTTTGGCTGCTTCTGGAGTCCTGGGTGCAGAGCTCAGCAATACCCGTTGTTTTTGTCAAGCCTAAGCATAAATAGTTAAAGATGCAGTGAAAATAACAATAGACGAGAAAAAAAAATGGAAAGCTTTCCCCAGGGACCCGTTGACGAGGGCTGCCCACCCAGCCTGCTCTGGCCACTCCTCAGAGTTGTGCCCTCGGGGTCCGTCTGTGTGACGCGGCGGCTCAGGTCTCCCCGAGTGTTGCAGGATGATGGGTGTCCTAGTCTAACACCCAGCGGCAGAGGTGTCTTGCCAAACAGCAGCAGCTCGGCAGCTCCACTGCTGAGTGGAGGGTGGGGTGGGATGCCATTTTTCAGAGTTCACGCAGCCCTTGTACGAGAAGCAGAGGGATGAACATGTTGATGGGCTGGAACCTGTCCCTGCGACGCTGTCCTATTTCCATGAAGGCCAAAGGACTGCGCGTGGTTTTGCTTGGTCCCTCCAGGTAGTCAGATTTTATGCCTTAGATACTGAGTATTAAAAATGAGGCCTCTGACCACAAGGCCAGTCAGCGGCTCATGGGGTCCTTCATGAGAATGACGGGAATACCAGAGAAAATGCTAGGGGAAAGCACGGTGCCTACAGACCCCACGGCCATCTGCCTGCTGTGTTCCCTGCCCCAACTCCCCATGTGCTTCTCTGGGGCTTCTCTCCTCCTCCCCAAACTCCTGCTCAGCACTTCAGCCTCAGCTTGCCGTCCTACCCTCGGGCCTTCCTGGCTCTTGTCCCCACCAGCACCCCAAGAACGAAGGCCTGGTTCCTGCTCCCCTTCAGTCCTCCGGAGAGGTGGCCCCAGGCAAAGACCTGGAATGGAGTTGACATGCATGCTGGCCTGTGCCCCATCCCGCTGGCCCTGGGCTGTCCTCTCCTGGAGTACTGGCCGTCCGTGCAGTGGGCCTTGACGCAGACGAGTGAGACCGTTACTTCTTCAGACCTCTCAGTGAAACCTTCTTGATCTGTGTGCTTAATCCCTTCTACTTAACGGATGGAGCACCCAGAGAGCAGGGACTATCCTGAGGTCACACAGCTCATCAGCAGCAGAGTTAAAAACCAAGTCTGCGTCCCGGCGTCCACCCACCCCCGGCCTCCTGTGGAGGGGTCGGAGCGGGTCTGGTCTTCGCGTGGAGCTGCAATCCAGGGGGGACTTGCTCGGGGAGCAACGGTCCCACCCACACCCCACACACAGGGCCACGCTGCCTTGGCCCCAGGCACGTGGAGCCCCAGCCCTGTTGACCAACACAAATCACACCTCTTTCCAGGGCCCTGAAGTCGCCAGACGCTCCAGAGGCTCAGTCCGAAGAGGAGGTGGACGAGCTGTCCCTCATCGACCACAATGAAATCATGGCGAGGCTGACCCTCAAGCAAGAGGTAGGTTCCTCACAGGCCGTACGTGCAGCATCTGGCCCAGAGGGTGAGGGGGCGTTGAGAAGGGAACCTGGAAGTGACCCGCACAGAAAGGCCACAGCCAAATGCTAACCCCGGTGGCCCTGGGCTGTGGGCTCTACACCGTCTTGTCCCGGCCCCGAGCCTGGGCCGCTGCAGGTGCTCCAGGACGCTGGGCACACGGGCGACTGCCCAGAGGAAGTGTGCTGTCCCCCTCTTTGACACCTGGAGAGTGAGCTTGGGCAAGCGGCCTGTCCTCCGTAAGCCCCGGGTGACGGGACTCTAGAGGCTGTTGTGAGCACGAAGCCCATGTGGGCGCTCGGCCTGGGGCCCTGTGTGCTGGGCCTCCTTAGGGCAGGGTGTTTTCATGTTCTTAGTGACAGAGCCATCCATGTGTCTCTGCGTGGGAGGCACAAGCCAATTAAGGGGTTTCAGGCCCGGCCACACAGCTGCCTCCAGCCCGTGTCTTATCAGAAGCGCCTCACTGGTGAACACGGTGCCCGAACCCGTCACTGCCCGAGGAGCTGAGCTGAGATGGCTTTCCGCTCCCTGCTGCCCAGCAACCCTGGGGACTCGGCGGAATGGCTCCCAGTGATGGCCTTGACCACTGCCCAAGGAGGTAGCCATGTTCTACACACACAGACGTGGCCCGGTCATGGCCCAGAGGAACCAAAAGGCGGGGGCTGGCTCCTCTGCAGAGAGAATGATGTGACTCTTGCCAGAAATTTCTTCAGAAAAAGCAGGTCCTGGGCCCTGCCTTAGCTGGAAATCCAGGACGCTCCCAGGACCCTGGGTTCCAGGGTTAAAGCCTGCCCTAGAGAGGCGGGCGCGTCTTTGAGAGCGAGCGCTGGAGACACGTGGAGGCTGGCGTGGGGCAGACTCCTCCAGGATTACAGAGAGCAGCCTGGGCCTCCTGGTCCTGTGACAGCTCTTTCTTGGCTCCAGGCCAGGTTTATGGGTGAACGCCTCCGTTAGCTCCTAGGAAAACAAGACTTTTCCCTGAATAGACAGGCTGTGGTCAGTATAAGCCACACTGGTTATAACTGAGCACCTTTGTGACATATCTCACTCCTCTAAGGGCTCCCGGGAAGAATGTGTGTCATGAGCAGTGTCCCTCCCCCTGAGAGCAGGTGTGGGTTCGGCAGCTCGCTGCAGCTCTCTGGAAGCAGCCTGCCGTCTGCAGCCATCCCCGCCGCCTCCAGTCCTGCCTGCCTCCCCGTGGGCTCCCCGTCCCCCCCTCCCCTCTCTGACCTGTGGGCTGGAGAACCATCGGGGCCAGGCCCCTACCCAACAGCGTCCTCGGCACCCGCTGCAGTCTGTGGGGCGCCCCAGCCTCTGCAGCCGGGCGTGGGGGTGCACGAGGACCTGGGGGGCCTGTCATCTCGCCCCTAAACCGACTCTCAGGGCTGTACTCGGCCCCATACCTTCTTCTGCTGTGCTCCCGCAGGGCGACGATGGGCCAGACGTCCGTGGAGGGTCGGGCGACATCCTCCTCGTCCACGCCACAGAGACGGACAGGAAAGGTACGGCTGCCCCTGCGGAGAGCTCGCCGACGGTGGGGGCAGGGGGGAGCCCCCCGTCCTGCCCGGACACGCTTGGCCCTGGTGCCCTCCACTCCAGCACTGAGCGGGTCGGAGCTGCCGTCCCGGTGCTGCTGGCTCACTGTAGGGGGCGCCGCTGGGGGACGGGTGGCCCGCACTCAAAGCCAGCACCTGGACACCCCGGCTGCCTCTCTAAGTGGGTCCACTGTGTGCAGGTAGTGGGGCCCCAGCCTCGTCGGGGGGCAAGTTTCCGGGGCAGAGCTCAGCACCTGCGGGCACTGCAAGGACAGTGTCCGAGTTAACAGCCTGACGTGGTGGTGAAGTCGTGTTGATGTACAGGGAGCGTTTATTCTACTTTTCCTGATGTTTCCTGACAGCTGCACTGGGCTGCATCTCTCTTCCTCTGGGAGCTTCGTGGGCAGACACTCTGTCCAGTCCCACAGCAGCGGTACTGACACCGAGTGGGGCTCCCCGCCCTCAGCACGGAGACAGCCCGTTCCCGCCCCGGTCCTTCGGGAGGGCGGAGAAGGAGGGCCTGTCTGTCTGCTGGCGAAGGCACGGTCTTTCCAGGTGGTGTTGTGTGGGGGGGGCCTGTGAGGCCAGCGCCCATGACCTTGATCAGGCAGGAGGGGCCACACACATGCCCACAGCTGGGCCCGCCTCCCGCCACGTCCATTTCCTTTTTACACTTTTTTTTCTTTTTACGTTTTTTAAATTGTCAGAAAGATGATGGAACAGCAGTGTTAAAGTAAGGAGTGGAGGAATTGAAACACCTCAGTCTTGAAACCCTAATGCCCCAATTTCATGTTTGTACTTGACCTGGTCCTTGCATCTTGACAGCAGGTTTCCCCAAGTATGTCGCCCAGATGGAAAATTTTAAATTAGGAAATCAGTACCAGAGTAATTGTTTGCATTGCTGAAAATTTGAAAAATAGAGAAAAAGAAGAAATAGCTCCCAGACTCTCCGCAGCCACGCTGTTGCCCTCCAGGCTTCTTCTGACCCGAGCACAGCACGGTCCTGAAGACCCTGGGTTTAACCCTGGCCGGGCGGCCGCTAACCTCTACCCAGCCTCAGCAGACTCAGTTTTGTGAAGGGGTTAGGTGCCCTGTGGGTGTGAAGGTTGCGTGAGCTGAGATGAAACACGCCTGGCACATAGGAAGTGCTCGAGGAGTCTCTGTTTGCAACCCCGGGACAGCCCCTGCTCTGCCCCCTGCAGTGCCCCCTCCCCCACGCCTGCTGCACTGGCAGGAGCTCCGCCCTCACCCCGTCTGTGTCTGGGAGTGAGAGGCTGAATGGGGGCAGCTCCCGTCCTCAGCGGTGAGCAGGGAGCCGCTGACCTGCCGGGTGCCGTGGGCTGCGGCCCAGGCCAGAGGGAGCCCAGCGGGCAGAGCGGCCCAAGACCTTCCAGCTGGTGCCGACTGCCTGGGAAGGCGGCCCTGCTGCCCCCGGGGGCTTCCACTCGCTTTTCTCCATGGAGGGGTTTTGAGGCTCCAGTCATTTGTCCCCAGGATGGACGCTGAGTTAAAGGCCCTGGGCCATAGCAAACTCCTTGGGCAGGGGCCGCCTACAAACCAGAGACCACCCACTGGCTGGAGGCCCCGGGCTCAGGTTGCAGCCCCAGACCCCTTCTTCCGGAAGCAGGCCTTGGCTGGTGCTGGACCCATCTCTGCTTCCTCATTGCTCTCTGAACAGAAGCCCAGTCTCGACAGCAGTGGGGTGGTGGTGGGGAGGGGGGTGGTGCTTGAGTCCAGGAGGGAGCCGGAGCCCAGCGCCCCCGCCCTGAGCCCTCCTCAGGTCACCGCCCCACTGGCCAGGCCCCCCACCTCAGCCGGCTCAGACACGGGGGTGCAGGGCAGGCTTCTCCCCTCATTGTCCTGCGGGTGATTAGGGAGGGCAGGGGACAGGAGCCGGGGCTCAACCAGGTGGGCTGCTCAGCTGGAGAAGGGGTCCTTGAGGCCTCCCCCCAGTGAGTCAGGGGTGGGATGAGAGAAGACGGCGGACGGTGGTCTGTGTCCAGCTCAGCCTCACGGGAAGGACCGCGGGTCAGCCTCACGGGGAAGGCCATAGCCTCATGGGGAGGACCACAGTCTTGGGAGCCAAATCCAGACTCAAATGTGAGCTCCAGCACAGGCTAACCTGAAGTTCACCAGCTTGACCAGGTCCTTGGTCTCCAGGAGGGACCTGCATTTAAAACTCCCTGATTTTTCCCTCAGTATTGGAGACTGCCTGGTTAGGAGGGTGTGTCACAGCTTAAATAAACGGGCTGTTGTGAATCTGGAAAGGTTGGGAATCCTCTGCGAGAACCAGCCCCTACAAAGGGAAGGAGAGGTGTTGGGTGGGAGTGGCAGCCTGAGTCCCACCCAGCCACCGGGCCAGGCTCCTCCCCCTCCCCTGGCACCAGAGCCTGCAGCCGGGAGTGTCCAGCGGCGTGCCAGGAGGAGCCCCAGGCCTTTCCCTCAGCCTCACTGTGCGGAGACTCCCACGGCGGTTGCTCCTGGGTGCTGCCGCCCCCAGTGTTACCTGTCACTTAGCTGCAGAGCCCTGCTGACGGCTCTGAATTGTGTTCTCTCTGCCCGTGGTGGTGAAGACCCGAATCAGCAAGTCTTCGGGCAAACAAGAGGCCCTCACTGTCTGGTCAGAGCGGGGAGCACGTCCTGCCGCAGGCACGCTGCCCACCGGTGCCCGCACCAGCAGCGGGTGGGCTGATCCGTTCCTTGTCCCTCCCTCCAGATCTGGTGTTGTACTGCGAGGCCTTCCTGACCACCTACAGGACCTTCATCACGCCCGAGGAGCTCATCAAGAAGCTGCAGTACAGATATCCTTGCCCGCCCCTCCCTCCTTCACAGAGCCCTCTGTGGGCTGGGGGGCAGTGCTCAGGCCAGCTCTGCATGTCCCGGCTTGGATCCTCCGGCCAGGCTCCTCTGTGCCTCATCCCTGTCTTGAGGGGGCCGAGTGACGTTGCATGATGTGCTTGAACAGAGGGTGCTGCCTGGTGGCCTTGTGATCACTGGGCGATTCTGAGACAGAAGGACCTGATACACCCTGAGGGCCTCCCAGGTGGAGCCAGCAGTAAAGAGCCCACCTGCAGTGCAGGAGACGGGGGCTCCACCCCTGGGTCTGGGAGCTCCCCTGGAGAAGGGGATGGCAACCCACTCCAGTGTTCTTGACTGGAGAATCCCATGGACAGAGGACCCTGGCAGGCTACAGTCCATGGGGTCGCGGAGTTGGACATGACTGAACACAATGCACCCTGAGAGGGAGCGTGTGGGCCCCGGGGGACGCAGGTCACTGGCCCGTGCGGCCTCTGGGAGCTGAGCCCTGGGTGTCGGGGGTGACAGGTGCAGAGTGCATGGGATGTGAGGGCATCAGTGAACAACCCCAGGCAGGCCTGGCCCTGCCACCTGCCAGCAGGCCCAGCAGTGGACAGAGCTCAGCGTCCACGCCGCAGTTAGCACCCGCCTCACAGGCTCGCCCTTTAGATACGCCGCCTACCGGCAGTGGCCGAGGAAGACCTAAGGCTAGCAGGGACCTGCTCGGTTGCCTCTTTCTCAATGCAGTCTTGCCCCTCCTGCTGAGGCTGACCTTCAGCTCCTGTCCCAGGAGTGGGTCCCCTCCTGGCCTCGTCCTGCGTCACAGCCCGTGGCTGCCACCTGCTGGACAGCCCAGCCCAGGGCGGGCAGTCCTGAGTCCTTCAGCTCTCCCCCCCCTCCCCAGTGCCCAGACGCCCCCACCCGGCCTCTGCCTCCCCTGTCTCTGGCCCTCCTCTCTCCCCTGATCTGCCTCGGGGCCCGGTCCCTCAGGCCAGAACGGCCCACGCACAGACCTCATGCCCTCCAGCCTCACACCTGCTGTGGCCACAGTCCTGGCTCAGTGAGTGACAGTGACTCACACTTGCTGAGAACCTCCTGGTGTCTGTTACGGAGCAGAGCGATGCACGGTGACCTCACTCGGCTCTGATACCGTTTTATGTACTTAATGTCACTGTCTGTAAGGCGCTGTCCCGATACTGTTCCATACCATGTGTAATTACGGAAAGCGAGATTCAGAGAGGGTCGTGGGACCCATGCGGCAGTGTGGAGGGAACGGGCCCACACCCAGGCCTCCCAGACCCAGCTTCTCAGCATCTACCCTGCATGGCCGCTTCAGGCGTCTCAGCGGACAAGTCACAGCACCAAGCCCCTAGCACAGCTGGCTGGCAAGCCCTCACTGCGGCAGGCCCCGGCACGGGCCCTGGATGTGACTCCCTCCTGAGTGTATTTTTAGAGAGCAGGTGGGAGGGAGCCGAGAAGGGTCCGGAGACGGCGAACTCAGGAGGGCAGCCAGAAGCCATGATGCCCCAGGGTGGTGGGTCTCCAGAGCTAGGGAAGACCTGGGGATGAATGACGAGGGTGGAGGGCGACCTGCCCCGCCGGGCTGTGCGCCGCCCCCACGGAGCCGCTTCCCTCTGCCTGAGCCCGGGAGGCAGCCGTGGGTCAGTGTCTCGGGGACCTCGGGTCCACCCCGGCATGCAGGCAGGAGAGGCTGGTGGTCGAGAGCGCTCCTCAGGGTCAGACAGGTGCGGGCTGACCCCACCTCGCAGCCCTGCCGCCCCGCACAGGCCTCCGCCCTCCCCATGTTCCCAGAGTTTGCTCGGGAAGGGGTCCGGAGGAGGGCAGCCCTCCCCCCACATCCCTACCCCTGCCCGCGAGGACAGCTGTTTCTTTAACTTGGGTTCCACGTATGAGAAGTTCTCTCCTTTCGCCGACACGTTCAAGAAGCGTGTGAGCAAGAACACGTTTTTCGTGCTGGTGCGGGTGGTAGACGAGCTCTGGTGAGTCCTTCCGCCCACGGGAGGGCAGGCTGTGGGTGTTGGGGTGCAGGCTTCCCCAGAGACCTGAGCCTCCCGTCACATTTCCACCTGCATCTCCTGGGTCACCTGCCCACCGCCCTGCCCGGGGTCCTGGATGGTTCACTCCTGCCAGCTTCAGCAGGAGCCCCGGGAGGATGACCTGGCCCCTCAGACCCAGTCGGCCCTGACTTCCTCATGGGGGCCGTGCCCTCGGCCACCAGCATCTGGGGGGATCTACTGCCCTCCACAGCTGTCCCTGCTCCGCTGCGTGGCACTTGGCCATTTCCCTTCACTTAACACACACACAGCACGAGGTCCCTTTCCTGCATCCAGAGACCCCCCGCCCCCGTCCCTGCCCTCGGAGGTGACCGCAGGGTGGGGCTGGGACTCTGTGTGTGGAGGAAGTGCAGGGGGGTCCTGGGGGGTCCGGTCTGCAGAGCCCGGACGACTTCCTGATCCTTCACCCCATGGGACCCGGAGCTCCTCTGGGGCAGGATTTGTCTCCAAGCCCAGGCCCAGCATGGCCCCTTGTACTCGTCCAGTGCCTCTGAGCATCCCCCGAGAGGACGGCAGTTACCTGCCACCACGGGGGCTCTGCCGCTCCCTTCCCACCAGCGGTTTTCCAGCTCTGCTGCAGGGTGTCCCGTGGCCCTCAGGGTCTTGGGGGTTTCAGGACTGGTGCCAGCAGCCCTTCTGCTTGCCTCCTGCGCCGCCCCGCATGGCTCTTGGGCCTCTAGCCTGGTGGAGCTGACAGAAGAGATCCTGAAGCTGCTGATGGAGCTGGTCTTCCGCCTGGTGCGCAGCGGGGAGCTCAGCCTGGCACGCGTGCTCCGCAAGAACATTCTGGACAAGGTCGATCAGAAGAAGCTGCTCCGGTGTGCCAACTCCGACCAGCCCCTGGCGGCCCGGGGCGTGGCAGCCAGGTGAGCCCCCGCCGTGCGCCCAGCTGCTCCTGGCCCCTTCTGCAGAGAGGTGCCAGCAACTGCCGCTCCCATTTCACTCAGCGCACCCCCTCCCCAGCCCCACGGCTGGTTCTGAGCGGGCCTGTGATGGGATGCCTCAGGGCCGGCCACGGGGGTGCCCCAGGCTAGGCCTGTCTTCCAGGGTGGTGATGGGTGGGCCATCGCTTTTAACAGGAAGTGGGGTGGCAGGGCATGTATGGGCATCCCAGGACAGGGGGCAGGAGTGCCTTTTAGGCTGTGATCAGCGCCAAGTTCTGGTGCTAATATAGCAACTGTTACCAGTAATTCTCAAACGCCCCCATGCCACCCCGACCATTCTGAGAATCTGTGTACAGGTTCCAGTCTGCTTCCCGCCCCTCTCCCGCAGCCGTGGGAGTCTGTTGGTGTATCACCTCCTCATTGGCATCTCGGTCTTTGTGTGGCTGTGAAGCAGGTCATGTTCCCTCAGCTCTGAGGCCTGCAAGGGGGCCCCCACCGTACCGTCCACCGACCGCTCATCTAGTGCCTCTGTCTTCCAGGCCCGGGACATTGCATGACTTCCACAGCCATGAAATAGCCGAGCAGCTGACTCTGCTAGATGCCGAGCTCTTTTATAAAATAGAGGTACAGCCATGCGTGGGGCTGGGGGGGCCCATCCCTGGCCCGGGTGAGCTCCGCTGCTTGGCCCTGAGTGAGAGGAGCTGCTGCTCCCAGCAGAGCCAGAGGGCCCAGGTTCTAGCTGGTTCCCCTGCTTTTTCAGATTCCTGAGGTTTTGCTTTGGGCCAAAGAGCAGAACGAGGAGAAGAGCCCGAACCTGACCCAGTTCACGGAGCACTTCAACAACATGTCCTACTGGTGAGACGGGCCTCGGCGTGGACCCTCCTGCGGGCCCCGTGGTGCCTTCACAGCGCGCCCTTGGCCGGGGGAAGGGGGTGCCCCTTCGTCCCTCCCCGCTCCTTCTGGAGCCTCGTGGGCGTTCACTGTGCCCCAGAGGCAGGGCAGGACAGAGTGTGTTCTGCACGTTGAGAAGGGCCCCCTGGGGACCGGCTGAGGAGGACTCAGCTGGGACTGATTAGCAATGTCTGCCGCTGATGGCGGCAGAGGGTCTCAGCTTTGTCATCCTGCCCTGCTCATGGCCCCCTGGCCCCAGGGCTGATCCGCACAATGACTCTGCCTGAAGAACAGCGAAGGGGTGGCTCTGTCAGTACTTTATTTAGCCTTAACCTCTGAGAGCAGGGTGAAGCCACACAGAGCGTCTGCGATGTACCACAGCAGAGCCGCTGGCCCCACAGTGGGCCTCAGGGTGCCCACAGCCTCTCGGCTCCGATAGAGGACCGTCAGGGCGTGGCGGCCAGGCAGGCTCGTCCTGACCCACATACAGCCCATCGCCAGCACCAGGGAGCATCTGGGACTTTTCAAGCGCTCTGAAGACAGCGTGCTGGGGAAAGCGGGGCCTCCCCTTGGCCTGCTCCCCTCCGCTCCCCCAGAAGCCTCCGCTTCTCAGCACGTGCTTGGTGTAGCTGCCCCACAGAGACCCAGGTGGTTCCCAGTCCACGCATCCCTGAGCACCACCGCCAGCTGCCCCTTGCTGGGCACTGGGGCTACAGACACACCCCTGGGTCCTGCCTAAGAGGGTGGCTGGGGCCCTTCAGGGCCAGATGAGGGGCACTTCCTCTGGGCAGCACAGGGTCGAGGCCACCATGAGGTCCTTGTGCGAGCCTGGCCTCGGGTTGTGGCTAAGGTTCTGGGAGGTGGCCTCTTAACCCACATGCCCCCTCACCTCCCGAGCTGATCCTGAGGCCATTCATGGGGTGTTTCCAGCCACCCTGGTGCTCAGGGTCAGTGCTCACCAGGAACGCCCCCATCCGTGCAGTTAGAAGTCCCCATCCTGGAGTTCAGCACTGGCCCCCTGGTGGGCAGGGGCTCATGGCCAGCGGGTGCAGGCGCCCACCTCCCACGGCCGCCAGGACCAGCCAGAGGCCTGGAGATGAGTCACTCGGCCGTCCTTCTCCCCTCGGTCTACACAGGGTCCGGTCGATAATCATGTTGCAGGAAAAGGCCCAAGACAGGGAACGGCTGCTCTTGAAGTTCATCAAGATCATGAAGGTAACTTGGGGCCCCCTCCCCAGCGGCGACCCCCCACCTGTCCCTGCCCACCCTCACGATCGCCTCCCCCCCTCCCTGCAGCACTTACGGAAGCTGAACAACTTCAACTCCTACCTGGCCATCCTCTCGGCGCTGGACTCGGCCCCCATCCGCAGGCTGGAGTGGCAGAAGCAGACCTCAGAGGTGGGCAGGCGCCACTTGGTCTCAGGCCCTGGGGCGCGGGAGGCAGTGCCGTGCCCAGGCCCAGCTTCCCCAGGGGCTGCTGCAGGTGGGCCGCGTGAGGCACGGGTGTCCCGTGACCAGGCCAGACTTGCTGTCAGGTGGAGTGCTTCAGGGAGAAGGAGGGGGTGCTGAGCGAACATGTGACCGAGTGGTCCGGCCCAGCCTGGGATCAGCACCGAGGTGGTGCTGATCACCCTGAGACCTGAGTAGGAGCGTCCTGGGAAGGCAGGGGAAGTCCCCTCAGAGGGGACAGGGCACAGGACAGAGGCCAGGGTGGCCACATCACAGGAGTCCTGGGGCACCTTCACCCTGGCGTGGAGCTGCTTCTGGGGAAGCAAGGCAAGGCCCACGGGGCTGGGTGTTAGCCGGGCTCCTGGGAGTCGTCTCCCAGCAATATAAAGGGACAGTTATGAGACAGTGGTGTCTAGAGAAGCGGGACATCCCCCCAGCTGCTCCAGGAACACATGAGAGGGCCTGAGAAGGCAGGGAAGGCTTCCTGGAGGAGGTGACACATCAAGGTGAGAGACAGGTGACAGGGCACAGCCCACCCAGCGTGCAGAGCATTGGGGTCACCGCCCTCCCCGCTGGGCTCTGCCTTGCGTGTCGGGGGGCAGCAGCACGGCCCGGCCTGCGGCGCTGAGCATGGCCAAGCAGCAGCCCAAGCGGTCCCGCGGCTGTGTCTACAGCAGGCCTGGCCTGCCTGCGGCCGGGGCAGGGGGGCCTGGCTCTGAGTTGGCACTCGGTGTTGTTGCCACGCTCATGGACGGCACATCCTCCTGACAGGGCCTGGCTGAGTACTGCACGCTTATCGACAGCTCGTCCTCCTTCCGTGCCTACCGGGCCGCCCTCTCGGAGGTGGAGCCACCCTGCATCCCTTACCTGTGAGTACAGCCTCCCCCAGGGTCCCCTCGCTCGCTGCCCCGCACACAAACCCGCAGGGAGAGGTTTCCAACCTGGATGCTCTGCTTGTATTTAACTTAAAACGTGCTCCTTGTTAGATGGTGGAGACGAGCAAGGGTCCAGCGACAAGGGCTTGGTCTCCCCACCTCCCCGTCCCTGAGCGTGTGCGGGTGCACGCGTGGACAGGCGTGTGGCACCGTGCTCTGTTCAGCTGCCCCGGGCCTGGCCGCACCTCACAGCAGCCCGAGGTCCCTCCAGTCTCCCCATGGACCCTGGGAGTGCCTGACCGAGGCAGCTCTTGATGGGTCCCCCTGTGGGCTGGGACGAGGGTAGGCGTTTTCACCAAAAAGAATCCATGGCACGTATGCTTGGGAAACAGCAGGAAAAATCAGAGCTAAGTGGGTTTCTTGTGCATGTCAGATCCTTTAGTAGGGTAGCGGACAGTGAGGACTTCCAAGAGAGGGACAGGAGGCTGCGCAGTGACCCGGGGCCAACTGTCCAGGGGCATGTCCCTCAGGTCTCCAGCCTCAGAAACGCAGCTCTTAGAGCTCCCAGCCCCTGCTTGCCTCCATCTCACCCTGAAGTCCCTTTCGTCCCTGGCTTGGTGGGAGCTGCGGGCTGCGCCTTCCCCAGGAGGAGAGTCGCCCCGCCCCTCGTCAGGCGGCTTCACGGGCTCTGTGTGAGAGCACATGACCGCACCGATAACCCAGGTTGTTGACCGCCGCCACCACCGAGTTCGGGGTTCTGTTCTCCCGTCCCTCTTACTTGTGCCTGGTGGACCGGGGCTCTGCCGGACCAGCACAGGGGTTGCGGGGCTCCCTACGTAGCAGGCAGGCCTGAGCCCGCCTTCCCGGAGCCCCAGAGCCTGGGAGTCAGGTGTTCCCGCCAGAAGCAGCACCAGCACCCGGACACACTCGTGGGGCGGCAGCCCGGAAACCCACTGCCTTCTGAGCCCCGGGGTGCTCACCGGCGTGCCCATCTCCCAGGGGGCTCATCCTGCAGGACCTCACCTTCGTCCACCTGGGGAACCCAGACTACATCGACGGGAAGGTGAACTTCTCCAAACGCTGGCAGCAGTTCAACATCCTGGACAGCATGCGGTGCTTCCAGCAAGTGTGAGTGGCCATCCCGGGGGTCCCGTCTGGGGGGCTGCCGGAGCCTGGCCCTCCTGACTCAGGGCTGGGGGGTCTCCCTGGGGCCTGAGCAGAGGGGAGCCCCTAGCTCTGAGGACCAGCAGGGGTACCCCTGCCCCGTGAGTTCGCTGGGGTGGTGGGTGATCCCAGGGCTGTGTGGCCCTCATGGCCGCCCCCTCCTCCCTCAGGCACTACGACATCCGGAGAAATGACGACATCATCAACTTCTTCAACGACTTCAGTGACCACCTGGCTGAGGAGGCCCTATGGGAACTCTCTCTGAAAATCAAACCCAGGAACATAACCAGGAGGAAGACAGACAGAGAAGAGAAGACCTAGGGGCGGCTGCCGCGGGCTAGGAGAATGCCCGAGAGAGGCGCAGGGCCGCTCCGAGGCTGAAGGGACTGTGGACCTGTGTGGTGGCGGCGGCCCATGTCCCGGCCGAGGAGCCCCAGCCCGGGCGGGCCCCTGCCATGCCGGGCGGGCATCCGGAGCCCACGGCCGAGCTGTGACCCAGCGATCTGGGTTTGGTTGGGGTTCTGCTTCCACGCCGTCTTCCACTCTGCCTGTGTCCCCTCCCCTAGCCTGGGAACCTCAGAGCACGTGGTCAGCAGACCGAGGGACGGAGGGGCAGGGTACCATCTGAGTCTGCTGTCGTGACACAGGGGCAGGGGCCCGCGGGCCGGGGCTGCCCACCCGGTGACCGTGGATGACCGGGCCTGCAGGCGGGCGGGCAGGGAGACCGGGCAGACTCCTCTCACTTCCCACGCGCTGCTTTTTCAACGGAGGATGGGGGCGCTGCTCACCTGGCCCGGAAAGGTACGACAGGGGGCCCCTCAGCAGCCCGGAGCTAGGGCTCCGCTCATGGTACCGGCCCGCCCTGGCCAGGCCCAAGCAGCCACCGTGTCAGTCCTGTTTCACCCCTTCATCTCCCCCTGCCCTCACCCCCCAACCCGGGCACCCAGGAGCGGGGCAGGCAGGCCGTGACCCCCCAAGGAAGACTCCAGCTAAGTGGGGCCAGCGCTCTTGGCGAGTCCCTTCAGAGAGCGGAGGACGGGCCAGCGGCCCCACCTCTGTCGCTTGCCGTGTGCCTTAAACTCCAGCTCCTGCGGGCTCCCCTCCCGCCTTGTCCCCAGCCTGCTGGGGCCAGATGGGCTGCTCTTCAGCCCTTTCTGCCACGTGGCCGGCTCTCCCGTGGGAGGACAGGGTCTCAGCTGCGAAGCCCCGCCCGCGAGGCCCGGCATCTTCAGGGGAAGGTGCTTTCACCCTGCGCTTCCCCCTAAGCCACTCTCACTACTGAGGCTGACAATCCGAGGCGAGGCCAGTGGGGGCTCACAGAGGCGCCCACCAGACTCCGTGCCAGCCAGGCCTAGGCATGCGGGCACCGCCCCCCTCCTGATTGGTTTCACATCACTGAGTGCCCGCCGCTCCCGGGTTTGGGACTCAGGCCGGCGAACAGCAGGCTTAGCCCAGTTTCAGCAGAACGAAAAGAGTGGAAGCAATCTCTTGTTAACTATTTAAAGAAACAGCCCTGTCACTCCGAGTCCTTTGTGGGTTTCTGAACGGTTTTTATCGAGCAGCCGTCTGTCCTGTATGCAGAGGGGAGGAGTCTGAAATGTCAGCCACGACCCCTCGGCAGCGATCCTTGGGCGGAACGCGTCACTTTATTATTTAAGGAGTGTGTGTGTAGAGTCGCTGTTTATGAACAGTACTGTGTGTGGGGTTGGGTTTTAGTTTGTTCCCGCTTTTTCGAGTCCTCCCATTTCAGCCTTCCTCCCACCTCCTTCCTGGCCTGGCCGGCTCTGCTGACGCTGCTGTGTGGGCCAGGGGCCGGCGAGGCCAGGTGACCCCCTGTGTGAGGACAGCAGGTGCAGTGTGCGTTTTAACTTATTGGGCTCAGGGTTCCCCACCTCCACCTCCTGGAGACCCATCCCTGGCTCTGGGCGCTGCCAGCCTGGCTGTGTGGTTTGTCTGGCTTAGGGGCCAAGTCAGGTGTACGAGGCAGCCTGTGTGACGAAGACACGCTCGGGAGCATTCGGTTCCCTGCGGGGCCCCTCCACACCTGTGGGTGGGTCAGGGTGAAGGCAGGCATGCGCCAGGTCCTAATTAAACCCCGATTCTGAGCAGCGCCTCCCCCACCACCTCCCAGTGTTATTACATTGTAATATATCCCCGACTAGACTAACCGGCTGATCGTGGCATCTTCCTGCAGACATTTCAAACCTGTAACTTTTATATGAAAGGAAATAAACACGGATGAAAGCCGCGGCCGCCTGTGTGTGCCCGCATGCCACGTGTGTCAAAGCGACCATCCGAGCTGTCGTTCTTTGATCACCGTGAGGGGCCTTCTGTCCCCACGCCGCGGTCCCTTCTCAGCCTCCGCAGTTTCTCCACCTGGAAGTGGCAGCAAGGACAGCTCCAGCTGATGAGGTCTGTGCGTGCTCAGCAGGTTACTCCTGGAACGGCATGTTGCTCCTTAGCCGGTATGGCCTGCCAAGCACTCTGCCGTCAGCTTTACCTCATAGGTCCTCTCAATTTGAAAATCATGCAAGTAAAATACTACAACCCAGAGAAGCACTACAAAGAACAGAGAGGTACTCGACATTAAAGAAATTAAATTGAGTTGGAAATACACTCACAAACATCAGGTCCAGACAGGCTTAACAGCTACTTTATACTGAACAGGCAGCTTCAATCTTAAGCAGACACCCTTGAGAACAGAAGGGGAAACCACCTGGTATGAGTAGAATACAACCTGGACGTCAAATCCAGACGAGGACTGGAGAGTTACAGGTAATCTTAGCAACCCAAACCAGCAGTATGTTAAAATCCATACTCCCCGTTGGGCTCATCTCAAATGCATGGAGTCATCGGAAACTCGTCAATGTGCGTGACCCCTTGTCTGGGCATTCCCACCTGGGACACCTTTCCTTCCTGGGGAAGTAAGACCAGGTATGCCTTCTCCACGTGTACTTTCTCTGCCATGGCATACTTCAAGATTCCCAGTGTGGAGATGACAGGACCCTGATTGGAGGCAACCCAGTCAGGAACCACTTCCACTGTTCCATACTGGGCTTTACATGAATCGAAAAATGAACTTGTGCTAATAATTAAGCTGCTGAGATTTTAGGGTTTATAAATTTTCACAACATGGCCTAGCCTCTCCTGAATAAATAAATTAACAGATTGAAGGAACATCACATAATCACTTCAGTACTCAGAAAGACCGGTTTAAAAAAAAATTAAAACACCAGTTCTTAAAATACGTAGAAATCAGAAACTTCCTTCATCTGATAAAGGTTACTTTCTAAAATCCTAAGCAAACATTATACTTAATGATGAAATATTCAAACAAGTTCCTTTAAAATAGAACAAGGTAAGGACCCCACCATCACTTTGTCTTTCATTGTTATACTGCAGATACTAGCTAATTTAAGAGATTACTAAGAAAATCAAGGCAGTTAACTGTACAGTCAAAAAACTACACATGTCCCGATATACAGTGAACTGCATGGACTCAGGAGCCTGGTGGGCTACAGTCCATAAAGTCGCAGAGCCAGACACAGCTGCAGCAACTGAGCATGCACACAGGCACTAGAAAACATCCCCAAAATATACAACTTATACTAACATCACAACTCTAAAATACTAGGAATAAACCCAATAGAAGATGCGCGAGACCTTATAGGGAAAAGAGACTTGTAAGTGTTTACTCACCCAAATAGCACCTAAATATACAAAGCAAATATTAACAGACCTAAAGAGACTAAACAGCAATATAATAACAGTAGGGAACTTTAACAACTCACACTTACATCAGTGGCTAGATCATCCAGACAGAATCAATGAGGAAAAACATTGGCCTTAAGCATATTCGATCAGATGGACTTAGAGATCCATACAGGGCATTCCACCCAAAAACAGAATACACGGTTCTTAAGGCACGTGGAACATTCTCCAGAACAAATAACACATTAGGCCACAACCTTCTCAAATGTACGAAGATGGAAATCATATCAAGCATTTTTGCCAAGCACAAGGGTATGAAACTAAAGATTACAAGAAAATGGGAAAATCCAAAAACATATGGAAATTAAATATCATACTGTTGAAAAACTATGAGTTCAAAGAAAATAAAAGATAACTTTGAGGAGAATGAAAATACAACATAACAACAATTTGCAGGATGCAGCAAGAGCAGTTTTAAAAGGAAAATTCATAATAATAAACACCTAAATCAAGAAACAAAAAACTCAAACACTAAATTTCAAGGAACTAGAATGAATGAAACCTAAAGTTAGTAGAAAGTGAAAGTGAAGTCGCTCAGTCTTGTCCGACTCTTTGCCACCCCATGGACTGTAGCCTACCAGGCTCCTCCTTCCATGGGATTCTCCAGGCAAAAATACTGGAGTGGGTTGCCATTTCCTTCTCCAGGAGATCTTCCTGACCCAGGGTTTGAACCCAGGTCTCAAGCATTGTAGGCAGATGCTTTACCATCTGAGCCACCAGGTCAGAGTGGAAATATCACATTAATGTGGCACTAGTGGTAAAGAACTTGCCTGCCAACACAGGAGATGTAAGAGACACTGGTTTGATCCCTGGGTCAGGAAGATCCCCTGGAGGAGAGCATGGCAACCCACTCCAGTGTTCTTGCCAGGAAAATCCCATGGACAGACAGAGCCTGGCGGGATATGGTCCATAGGGTCACAAAGAGTTGGACACAACTGAAGCCAACTTAGCATGCACACAGAAAGACAATGGGAAAGATCAATAAAACTAAGAACTGGCTCTTTGAAAAGATAAAATGGATTAACCTTTAGCTAAACTCACCAAGAAAAAAAAACGGAGGACACGAAATCAAACGAAGGAGGAGCTATTACAACTGATACCACAGAAATACAAAGGCTCAAAAGAGACTACTGTGAACCATTATATGCCAACAAATTAACAAATTTGACAACCTAGAAGACAAATTCCTAAACACATACAACCTATCACCACCAAATCGAAGAAAATCTGAACTGTTTACTAGTAAAGAAATTGAATCAATAATCAAAAACTTTTCAGTGAAAGTGAGACCAGGTGTCCTCACTGATGAATACTACCAAACATTCAAAGAAGAAATAATAATATTAGTTCTCAAACTTTTCCAAAAACTAGAGGAAGAAACACTTCCAAATTGTTTATTGTTTGTTTTTTGTTTTTTTGTTTTTTTTTACAAAGCCAGAATTACCTTGACATGAAAACCAGATGAGACTGCCACAAGAAAATTACAGGCCAATATCCCTAAGGAACCTAAGTGCAAAAATCCTCAACAAAAAATACTAGAAACAAAATTC